AAAATAAAAGCAGAAATAAGGCGTTAACCTAAACAAATGTCAGAAAATATTTATAGAATCTTTAATGAAACGAAAAAACAAGTTGCAAAAATGTCGACGATGGCGGGAAGCAAGCCCGCGACGTACGCCTATGAAGCTAGACCACTACCACGAAGCCACGTAGGCACATGATACAGAAGCGACGACTTCGCTTATCCAAATAATGCTACCGTCAAGCAAATTTCCAGCCCCAATATTTTTTAAGGAGAACCATTTTGCAGTTTTAATTTCCATTTTCGTAAAGAGCGTTCAGAATTCTATCGATGCATCTGGGTCTCCATTCAAAGTCCCACGGTAAGTAGACTACCCCTCCTTGGTTAGGTATGTATGTATATATGTGTATATTTATATATGTACGTACTAGAATGGCAAAAAAGTCCTGCGACAATTCGGAGACCTTTTTCAAATCACTTCCGAAATTTTTCATATCAATCAATTTTCGGAAATATATTTATAAAAGAAGTAAACAGCCTTCTCTTATCTTTTGAGCGACTCACTGATGCCTTTTGTCCAGAATTAAAGGACCTATGACTCAAAGAAACCATTAACTGCTGCTTTCAGATCATGTTAAGTTACGAACTTTTTCCCCTTAGAGAACACTTAAGAAGGTCGAGCACATGGCCATGAAAAGGGACAACTTCCCGGGAATACCACTGGTGAACAATCTGGAGCCAAGCGGGATCGGTGAACTTTTGACGTGTATCTAAAGCGAATTTTCGACGTGCTATGCCCCTCTGTAGGAACCTGATTTACGGTTTTGAACGTCCTTCTCTTAACCCGTTGATCAAATAAAGGTGATAATAGGGGTATGCGATAGTGTGTCCATCCAGATTGCGTTTAGCAACTCCTAGTTGATGGATTCCTTCAACCTCCATTAAATCAGGGACGATGCTTGCGTTACTTCGAAGGCTAGCTCCTGCAATGAAGCGATCTAACCGATTGTTGATCGTTGATCGGTGAGCGCTAGCATCGAATAGATTGCTGATATTTCGAGCCGCTACACCCGCGTTTTTCCCTTGGCGTGCTTAGTAGTAAGGTGATGGTACAAATCGGGTACGAAGGAGAATAAACTGCGTGAAGCGGTGCTTCCAAAGTGAAAAAAGACCTCGAGAAGGTGATAAAAAGGGGGCTGGACAAGAGTGGGACCAGAAAAATGGAGAGGAATGGGACATTCGGACGAGCTATACAATTTATGTCGTTGCGTACGTGTGGGTCCTGGTGCGAACGGTAAGCAAAAATTCATTCGCTCTTAAGCATAGGTTAACAAAGGAAACACTAGTAACAGCAAAAGCAGCCCATCTTTCTCAGCCTCTTGATCGGATCGCATAGGGATCGCAATAGCAAAAAGAGTAACAGAGAACAAAAGAATAGGAGGAAAACATCGTCTAATTACTCGGCGATCAGCTGGTTGTGATTGGCTCCCAGAGCGAGAATTTGCAACCTGTATCGCCTCGACACTCGTCTGACGTGACACCGGTCGAGGGGCGGGAAGGCCGCGCGAGCCGGGGACAGGGCTTCCGCTATGCCCTAACCGTCGAGTTTTTGGGCGCGAGAGGGTCCTTTTTATTTTCCTTGGAGGCCACTGAGTATTCCTAGGGAAAGCTCAGTAACCATCTTTATCGTGAACCGTGCCTTTAAGCGAGCAGAGTTCTCCAAGTGAAATGAAAAAGCACTCTACAGTAGAGATACTTTTCTGAAAGGTGCTCACTAATTGTAAGTCAATCATAGTTCGGTAGCAATCGGTAAGCTAAAAAGAATGCGGTGGATATAATGAGGTCGTCTTGTGTAAATGGCGGAGTCTGCGGCGGCGCGGTGCCATGGACGAGACACGGTAGAACATCATTCCTACCTGCATAAACGGAAAAATAGAAACATATCAAAGACAAGTAATAAGATGATCAGCTGTGCACGTTTAAGAATTTTGCGTTTATTAAGATCAAAACACTTCGGAGGTACTCATATTTCGAATGTGTGACATAAATTGTTGATCTATGAGGTAAATCCTTAATCTCGAATAGGCTTCTGACATTGTTTGAAATGAAGACATGGTATAAAAATTTAGTTATGTATCAGAGTATGAGTCGGAATTCTCGTTTGTATCCTAACAACCCAATATTATCTATCAAGACGAAATTCATACTTGATATCAAAGCACAGTCAGAATGTTTTGAATCATTTGTCGTGGCTGATGCTGCGATACCGTAAATTGGTGTATCAGCAATCAAAGAAGTTGATCTTGATTTTTGTTTTTCCGCAGTAACCAAGCAAGCAGAGATCGAGGCAGTTTTGGTGATTAGGTAATAAACAGGCGTACTGTTCGCTTCTCTCTCTCACATAAAGCGGCGTTGTGGTTTTATTCTGGTTCGCGCTGAGTGCTTAAGTAATGTTTTCGCTGTGGCTGCTGTAATGGCTGTTCACCATTCAAAGTTTCATACATAAGTTCGTTCAAGGCTTCAATGGGTCTAGAGCCAAGCACGCGACACGCGCCGGAGAGTCGCCTATATTTTTAGATAAGACCCCATTTCACCTTGGCTGCTTGGAAAAACAGTTGGTAACACCATAATAATTGAACAGTGGCCTACACACGTACGCAGAAATTTTGGTGAGTGAAAATGAAATGAAAATAAGGACAATTGGCTTGTTTCGGATCAGTATAGTTGGAGATGAATAAAAATGTTCGAAGTGCGAAATCGAACTAGTCTATCGAACTAGTCTAATACTGTGCATTGCGCTCTACAACCAGTTGCTCCAACATGGGCACGAACCCTTCTGCAAGGGTCAAACCAAGCTTTTGCTCCATAGCTGGCTACCTGATCAGTTTGTTATACACTCACGAACAGTTGAATGCGTTGCGCAACAAACGCGCTTCTTTCTCGATTCTGGAATCTGCTTACAGAGCGTCAATTATGCTTATTTCTGCTCTACAGTCCTATTTTAATCGTTCACTATGCTTTTGTAGTTGTGTGCATTTCAGGGACATGCCCACGTGCTCATTGAACGCGAGACAGATGAGCTTCGTGAAAGATTGCAGGAATCCATTTTGGAACTCTCGAAATCGCTGTCGAAGATCGATACGTGGCGAAGACAAATGCAAACGTACTTTTTCTTTATCTAGCTACAAATTCTTACATGGCTGGCCATCTTATCTGAACGGTTCATCTTCTATTTAGCTTCGTAGGTGTAAAATGAGATGGAGCTGAGTTTGTGAATCCTCGACTAGCGTCGAATTTGTCCTCTTCGTGACGTCGCATTCAAAAAATTTAATTTGTATGGATAAGTTCAATAAGTTGTGCTGGCGGTCGTGCAGGAGGAACCAGTAAAAAATTTTCCTCAAGGAACCAACAACATAGATCCCACGGTATGTAGTAAATTCTCCAAAAGCAGATCGGCTTGTGTTTCCTCCTTCTGTAGAATCTACTTAAGCATTTCCGGCGAGCAAGAAAAGTGTCACTTCAGCCATTAGTGGTAAAATCTATGCTAGCGCAACCGTTTTGAATAGCTAAACTGATGTCTGGCTGTCAAATCTTAAAAGTCTTTTCGATTCTCGTAGTAGGTACCTAAGTTTTTTCATTGTGACATAGCCACTTCAATCAATAAGTTGAAGTACGATTCCTTCGTTCACCCTTTCCTTTTCTTTTTGGTTTATAGGTAGCAGACCACTTTTCATTTCATTCACGTAAAGGCCTCTATTCGGCACTGAGAAACACAAACCATGAAGTCTCTTCTTCCATCGTTCTTCTCAAAAGCTTTCATCATGATGGTCTTTGACTATGAAAAAGAGGCAAATCGTCAATAAGTGATGCGCTTAACATATTAATGGAAACGACTCATTTGGGATTATGCAGTTTCCAAAGGTCAAGATATGCATAACTTCTATACTATTGCAGAAGTCAGGCATATCTTGGCCTTCGCAGTCATATTCTTCCTATTTATTAAGCTCACCAGGCGGCTATGCACGCTATCTCGTGCGCTAGGGGCTCTAGCCATGAGGGACGGAGCCACATGAGCTGACTTTCATTATAGACCTTTATCGGATTTATGAGTTTCCGTTCAAACCTCGCCCCCTGTGGGCGGAGTCTGGTCCTGCCACCCACCATAAGTGTTCCCATCCTGCCACCTGTGCTCCTACAAAATTTGAACGCTCTAGTTCCACTGGAACAGGATTTATGAGTTTAAGCTCAAACCCCGCTCCCTGTGGGCGGAGTCTTGTCCTGCCATCACCATAAGTGTTCCCATCCTGTCGCCTGCACTCTTACCAAGTTTGAACTTTCTAGGTGGAGACAGGAGTGACGAATTTCTGCTCAAACCCTTCCCATTGTGGACTTTCTAGGTCCACGGGGACAGGGTTATGATTTTCCAAAATGTTTTCATAAAGCATTGCATTTTTGGAGAACGCCCCACCCATCGGGGGTGGGTCTCCCCAGTTCGATCTAACTTACCAATGCAGACCTCTACACCTTTACACCCCAGTTTTGAAGCCGTCTTGTGACTAAATTTGAAATCATAGTCCTCAGTACAGCTCATTTCGATGCACCCACGCCCAGTGTGGGCGGGGCTCCGCCAAGCTGATGTGTGCTTTATACTTCTCGGGACATGACCCACCCATCCCACGCTTGACGAGGTCTCTCCGGGCAGATCTAAAGGAGCTAGGGAATTTCGTGACAGACATACATAACGACAGACGACAGACGAAGCGCTTTACCAAGTAGGATATGTGAGCGATACCGATAACGTTTCTGTTTTTCAAAGCAACATTCTTGACCAAATCTATCCTATGACTGCTGAGAATACTAATTCTTCATGCATTCCTCCCTGATCCTCTCTCTCAACTCAGACGGAGTTGCTGCTGATCGCACATTCATTTTCCAATACTTCTTTTTTCCTAGTCCTCGCTTTCCTCAGATCTTCTTGGATTTTCCCACTGCAAAACCTTGGTCACCTCAAATTTCCTACCCACCCTGAAACTGGCAAAAAGTATTTATTATTATCATTGCTTTTGTGTTCCATTTAAGAAGTTACTCCCTCATATCCCAAGGTTTAATTCAACGAGATATCTCTATTTTACTGTTGGAGTACTTTGGAAGTTTTGTGCGGATCGAGAGTTCCAGTAGTAGTACAACGTGTGATGATTAATTCCACTTGAACTATCTCGCACTACCCGACGACCTACTCTTTTGTATTTTCTAACTGGAATATGCTACAAAGGAGCGAATGTACGCGAAGCCGTATTCCTTCTTGCAACTCTTACATAATCCAAAGTTGGTATAAAAGTTTCCAAACACTGCAGGAAAAGCTATGTTGCAGAGTCGCTAACGAATTGTCGAACAGGGAGCGAGGACCGTTTGGTGAAGCCTTAATGCAGGTATTTATGAAAAAACAGCAATTTCTAATGCTCTTCCTTGTTTGATCTGAAGTAGTAGGGATTCTCAGGAATGTGAGTGTGAGCCTAACCACATACGATACACTCACATTCACTAGATTTGATGCTAACGTTTCCAACCATTTTTAGAAAACATACTATACAGTGTGTCATACGAGCAACACGGTAATTATAGGCTGTGATTTTCTCAGTGAGATGTTTTGAAGGGCATGACCTCAAAAGAATTGAAACTGGCCGCTGCTGAGCTTCACTGAACCATTTTACCATTGCTTAACGGTTAGGGCTTATCAAGAGTGGGTATATGCCATGACGAACTTCAAGACAAACGAAACTCGATCACGTGAGGAGTTGCTTGCATCGAAATGGACTGTGCCGTAAGCAAATCTCCCTAGACCTCCCAGCTCGAAGACTGGGTAAAAATGAATTTAGGTGAAATGTGAGTTGTCCGATTAGAGAAGCAGAGAGTTGGACCATCTTGGCCGTCTTCTAGCACTCTCCACCCTAGCTCACTTTACAGGCCTTCATAGCTCGTTTCCAACCCAGTCTAGAAGGCACAAAAATCTTCAGAGCGTGTTAACTATAATAGTCTGGTGGAGGTCTTTGAAGTGAAAAAAGCGGATTCAGAGTGACCAAAGAATAGAATAAATTGTGTAGATTGGCGTAGACCTGGTAAGAGCAGTAGAGTTGCAAATTTAGAACAAGCTGCGAGAAGGCTTGGAGGCCGAAAACACAGTGGATCGAGGCCAGCCTGAAAAGAAAGGTCAGTACCCCACAGTCACTGGAGGGCGCTGCTTGCCACGGGAGGGTTTTATTTTTCCATGGAACTTTGGATAGACCTGGATATATCGGTAGGGTTACCAATTCTGTTTACAAATTTAGAAATTAAAGCTGCTAAATGAGTCCACCAAAAAGTCGTGAGCTCTCAGAGATTGCATGCTCAATACATGGAGAGGTAGTGCCATTTGAAAGGCGGAGATGCTCGCAAAGATCGCAAGGGCCGCCCTGGCGCAGTGGCAGTGTTCTCTCCCTTCAGGCGAGCGGTGTAGGTTCGCTTCCCGCCGGTTTTCGCAAAACGTGCTATCTATCAAATGAATGCTCATATATATGTATTTAAGAAACGTATATTTATTTATTTATTTATTTATATACTGCACTATGAGTGCAGTATATAAATAAATAAATAAGTATACGTTTAAAGAACCAGTTCAAGCTAACGATTGCCGCGGGTTCCAATTTATTAGCCCTAGCCAGTGGCTTATATGGCAGAAATTCTGCCCCACCGCACTCATCCTTTTCATATCTTTCAAGACTTAACCACACTGTCTGAGCAATTAGCCCAGCAAGCTCCAATGAGTTAATTGTTATGAACCGTCCTCCGTTTGTGCTTTGTAAGAGTCACAAAAAGCTTAGGTTTCCTCGCTCCCGCTTCATGGCAAAGATCGGTCTGGTCAGGTCAGGACTCACTTGATACTTTAAAGCCGACGAAACTCAATTCAAACGACTTTCGTCGTATGAAAATGTATAAAAAGTTGCTCATATTTAACAATGACTCTGTACTTACTGGACTCTACGTATGTGCGACTTCTGTTCCTGCCCTTGACCTCAGTGTCCTAAATTGCACTAAATCATTTTTATTTCTTTCTTGCATTTCACTGACCGTATACTAATTGGAAGCTATTCGAGGTTCGCGCTCATTTCAATCGCCTCAGAGATGCATTGAATTGCGATGAAGAGACAGCACTGAATACCTTATCTTCTCACGTTAATGCAAGGGTTGCTGCTCTTAACCTCCAGATCGAACAAATGGATAATGCGTCAAATCGAGTTCTGTTTGTTTGTTATATACAGTTCCAACTTCTTTTTCTATATCTGTTTGCTATTTCAGTTGAGCTCTACATCATCAGAGCTACAGCGGAGTTTGGTGTTGGATCGGACACAACTTGTTGAACGAAAGAACGACCTACTTGCACTTGCCGAATCTGCTAAAGCCGATGTGGTTCGCTCTCCTGGTGGACCTTTTTTCTTTCGCCTTGTAATGCTTATCACTGAAACACGTTGATTTCTTTTTAGAGGAATCTCTTCTGTCGAATCTTATTCCATACTCCATATCACGATCCAATCGATTACATCTTGGGCACTATGAGGACGCTCGCGTAGTTCTTCTTGGACTGGAAGGAGCAGGCAAAACTACGCTTCTACGTGCTCTAATGAAAGCTCCTCATGTTCCCGACATCTCTCCTACGAATGGGTATTTTATAGTTTTCTTTTTTGTTCAATTCCGGGCAAGGGAAATGGGGCTCAAATCTAAGCGAAGCAACCACCCACACTCAAAAGAAGCTGAACGAAGTACGCAAAACAATAATCGGGGTTTAGCGGTAATCTCAAGCTTTGATAGTTGGGTCTGTTCCGAAATCTGCTATAGACATACAGGACCATATTTTCGGATTAGTCACAACATGCACATAATGAACCTTGATACACTAATAGAGCGCATCAACTGAGCTTAGCTTATCATAAATAAACAAAAAAAAAGACAAAGGAATCACTTCGCAATACTCGTATTACATGCCCCAATATATACTGCGGCCTACGGATATCACTCCTTGCTTTACTGTTCACCTCTTAACAAGCAGTAATCCCTGAGAATGAAATCTTGTAATAGAGGAGTTGAGTCAGTGACCTAGTGTTTCATAAGTGTCGTATTGTTTTGCCGCTGGTACGAATAAAATTAAGTTTTTCTTAAAGCGTTTCTTTACGAAGATTATAAACTCATCATTCTGCATTCTGGTGCTGCAAGAGAACACAAAAGAATTTCTTTATAATATTTCCGCAAGAATATAAGACGAAGCTATTTATTTTACTAGTTTTTTATAGGTTCACCGTAGATTCAATCCACTACAAGAACTTTCGTCTTCATCTTTGGGACGTGAGTGGTCTCAATCGTTCTCGAAGCGTATGGAAGCATTACCACTCTAACGCTCAAGGTATAATGGGGACGACCTTGTGCAATCAGGATTTTAAAATCGACTGAGATGACGAGATTTGTATTTCAGCCATCATCTTCGTTGTTGATAGCAGTGCTCCCGAAAGGTTCCCTGATGTCATCAGGGCAGTCGAGGAAGTCGTAGAAGACTCACACGCTGACTCTTGCCAATTTCTCCTCGTGGTCAATAGAAAAACGTACGTTATATGGTATTTTTTCCGAGGCGATGCTAGTAAGGCAATGGGATTTAATTCTTCTTCCAATCCCACCTTCATCTCAACGTTCGTTTCAACCATATTTTTCATTTCCCTTCCTGTTCGGATTGAGACTAAGATGCGGCAATTTTTTCATAATTTTTTTATGAGTTTCTCACAGTTTTCAATTTGTCCGATGCAACGTCAGATCTGATGTGAGATTGACGTACTTTCAGTGATCAGATCTGATGTGAGATTGACGTACTTTCAGTGATAACTTCTTGAGTTTTCTATTTCCTAGAAGCAGCTACCACTGTATTAAAAGCGCAGAACCCTATGTATTGTAAGCGAAGTGCCTTTGCAGGCACAACGTTATGTGCGGGTAAGATTATGATTCTTGAAATGCTTGTGGAGCGTGACGACGGAGGAGACAGTACTTTCGTTAGTTCAACCTTTCGGGCTAAATTTTTCATCTCCAATCAGCGAGCTTCCTGTCAAAGTGACAGGCCAATTCGAATCAGCAAGAGACTGTAGTTGCACAAGTACCTTATCTACCTTGTCATTAACCGACAGCGAGGAGCGAACTAGTCTTGCTACCAGTAAGCATCGCTCGCAGAGGGAGGTGCCCCGCGTGCTTTTCATCACGAACATTAAATTCACATGTATCCTGAAGGCAGCAACACATGACTGTATTAAATACGTGTAGATAAACGGGCAATCAAGCACCACAGTGAAAGATAACATTACGAGAATCATTTGAGATCGAAAGAGATGATAGAGATGCTGTTGGCGAAGAGTTTGGCTAGCGGCAAGGTAACTTCGATTGTGGCAGCGCATCGCTTTAAACGATGGTGTAAGCTCAATAGGAGTGTCCTCATCGCGAGTCGCTTGTCGAGTCCTTGAGACTTTTTTCGCCTCCATCATCAAGACCCCAAGCATCTGATGAATCATAGCACATAACGTTGGCATGCAAAGGCGCTACGCTTGCAACAAGGCATTTGACAACTATCCCAGTAGAGTCCGCCCAATCTGACGCATCTCATCCAAACTGCATTTATTTTTTTGAAGGCTCATTATGCACTTCTTCCAGATCAGAGAGTTCCGCCGAAGCATCCGTTTCATCCCTTCTTGGATCGGTATCGCGCTTTGGTCAGCCTATAAAAGTTTATTACTGCGACGCAGCTAGCGGAAGAGGAGTTCCCGAGCTTCTCGAATGCTTGGTCGACTCACTAATACCAAGAAGAGACGACCCTTGATGTTTTCTATCCGTTTTGTACTTGACTGCTCTCAAACTCATGCCATTCTCCTTTTCTGAACTGAAGCGGTACCAGCATCTCAAACTTGGTAATATGCCAATCTAACTTTTTCGTTAATGATGTGGTGATATTGACTGTGTTGGAACAATCGGAAGAAATATTCATTGATGAGCTTAGTAATCAGAACATTATGTATGATGTCATGGTTGCGATTTCTTTATGAAGGCTACGCCTGTACGTGTAGATAGTCGAATAAATAATAGGATGACGTGTTTTATGCAATTTTGTTTTGCTAGTTCGTTCGAGCGCTTTCTAGAGGCGCTGATCACGAGCACGACTAAGTTGATCCAAATGTTTAGCTTTCACGAGTTCTCAAGTTTCTTGAAGCTAAATGCGAATGAGTGAGCAATGTGTTCAATTTCGAGCACTAATTAAAAACTATAAAATTAGGTGGCGCCGTTGATTCGTAGGGATTCCCTCTGACTGTTTTGAAGGGCCCTCACATTCAAATCTTCAAACCCTCACCCTCAAATCTTTTAGGATTTCATCTCTCTTATTCTATTTGATTTTTTCAAGAGGTTAACAGAGAAGTACAGTTTCATTTGAGCTTTTGCCTAAGAGTGCCAGTGTAACACTTTGTCCAGGCATTCCTATTGTTACCACGATATACGCAGCTCAAGTGTGATCAGAACACTGTACAATTTAGTCAAGATCAGTCATGAAAGAAAATTTACTTCACGTGCGTATTGAAAGCTCTCAAAGTACTTCATGTCTCCCAGTTGCAATCAACCTTCCACAAAAGGAGTACAGTGTTGTTTAGTATGAATAGTTCGGTTGATGAATCTGCAAATGTTCCCGGTAAGTTAAGCTTCTGTATGTAGCGTCTGTATAGAAACTGGCTAAACACTTTGATGCTGAAAATGGGAAGAAGTTTGATGGAATTGAAAAAGCAGTTCTTAAAGAAGTTATTACAGCGGTTTGAAGTCAAAAACCTTTGATTTTACCATAGTGGCGGGATTATAGCTAGAGGCAAGGAAGGCGTCACAGGTTCCAGCACAGTCGAGGCGGTAGATGAGGTGCCTTGTGGAAAATACGCTCGAGGTCAATCTTATTGTTCTCTTTACAATGCTCATGAAGGTGAGTATGTAGTCATCGGTGTTGGCTGCATGGATCAGAATATCGAGTTCTTATATGTATGTAATGAAGCAGACATTCTGTAGAAGAACTATGATCTTTTCTGGGTCCCACTGCTCTCGCTGTATTTGCCTATTTTACTCTACACATTGCTGTATATATCGAACGTCGCTTACTGATCCTTCCTCAGTCTAGACAGAAGTGGCATCTTATAAAGGGCAGATTTCCGCAAACCGTTAAGAGGTTATCAGGGAGTGGCGGAGCATGGTGAGGTTGCTACATAGCTCCTAGGTGCGCACAAATAAATACTTGCAGTTCGCTTCAGGCCACATGCACGACGAAAATGTAGTTAATATCAGTTAGCGGTCAGACAATAATGATTCAAGCACTGAAATCACTAATTCGGTAGAAAAGTATTAGGTGGTTGTTGTGATATGCCAACTGCTTTGTGGCAAAATACTTACATTTTCAATCCGCCAAAACCACAAGCTCTCTTCTTGATCGCATAAAAGCATAGAAATCACCATGTAACATTTCCCTCCTTTCCATGGTTAAAAAGAAGACATTTCAAAGAATGCTAACCATAAGACAAACGAGTCATAGCTAGTCATGGATCATTTACCAAGTTCATCCCGCAGGATGCAAACGTCACAGCGAAAACGCTCTTTTCCTCAGTGAGAAGCAGTAAAGTGCGAGTTCCGAGAGGATTATTCGTTTTTTAGGTCTCGTTTTACTGGAGAGTTGAAATTGACGCTAGTTAACAAGAGTACATTCGTGCGAACGCACTTCTGAGTCAAGAGGATTTTCTCGAACAGCTACAGTTCTTTTCATAACGCTACTCTGTTCTCGGTAGGCTGCGTATTAAGTGGAACGATGGGTCTCCATGGCAACGGCTTTTCGGCAAGAGGTGTCGTGTATGCTGCACGAGGCTCGTACTCAGCTGCACGAATGTCTGGTTGTTCTTCGATGTCAGGAGAAATGTCGTCAAAAGGAGTGATTTCTGATCCACCAGTTCCCAATTGGGAGCTTATTGGTTAGTTTCATATCGTTATTTTTATCTGAAATCGCCCACGTGGCCGGTTCTCTAGATGAAGTCTCTATCACGTTGCTGGAAAGCGGCCTCGCTCGTTTTTCGACTCTTCAAGCGGTCTTGCCTACAATGCTCTCATTCGAAGCGAATTCAGATGAAGCTTCTCAACGTAGTCGGAAGCTTCTTCGTATTTTTCAGCTCCAAACTGAATATTTACTGGTCGGTTTGCATAAGGTTGTGTATGCCGAGGATCAAACCTATTTCTAGTATGATTATTCCTAATTTCTTAGAAATCGCAAAACCAGTTGGTTCAACAAATCCAAAAGTTAAAGAGCGAGTTGCTTTCGAAAAAGAAGGAAGTGAAACGGCTGAAAGCGGCAGTATTCAGTGAAGACACTCCTCTTTTCAAGGTAAGCATACTCGCTTTCTTCATGATTTACATTACGATGAAATCGCACATTAACTGCGTTTTGCCTTATACAACCTCCATTTATTTGGTGAAGCTTGGATACAACGGAAACATCCATTCAGGAAGTTTGAAAGTCAACCCAAAACTTGTTATCCTATTTCAACAATATTTTGGTGGATAGAATCTTCATCACATCCTAATACCTTTGATTTCACGGCAAGGATGATGATAATCTATTTGACCTTCTTCTTCCACCAAGTTGTCTCTCTATCTATTAGTGGAGTGTATCCCCTTGAAAGTTGTTTGGAGCAGAAATGCCATCCACTCACTAGATCTAAAGAGAGCCTGTCAGGTGCCTAAATAGTTTTGTCCTTGTCATGGTGATAACATATTCAGCCAGCACTATCCTTGCTAAATAAAAACGCGCTCTCATCTGTTTCTCTGTCTATTTGTCACGAAATTCGATATTCGTGAAGAAACGCCTGGAGAGGTGTGGTCAAGTTTAGAATGGGTTGGGCACCGGACAAAAACAGCATAGTATATTTGAGCTCAGTGGACCTCTGTCCCATGGGACGGGACATATACGGGAGTTTGGCGGTGCGATGGGCAAAACCTCCTGATTGGGTTTCACCACTGCATAGCCGCCGGGAAAAATTGAGCACAAATGAGGAATTGCTCAACAAATGAAATGAAGGAGACCTACCCGCGGTGGGTGAAGTTATCGCATAGTGGGTGGCCTATTTCAGAATATTCAATGTGATTCAACGAAAGCCTGAAGACCAGAAAAGTGGTAGGTATAGCGAAATCGCCTAGGATGGGCATGCACTCATTCGAATTTGAGCTAATTCTAATATATACATACCTCTGTTCAGGAACACTCTAGAATTTGAAAATGTGCATACAGCATGTTGTAAAAGGATGATCAATCCTTCATGGTGGGCGGGGTTAAAGTCAAAAACTCGCTACTATCTTCAGAGACTTTCGTAACGTTTCAAAATCGTTCCATTTATAAATTTATCATCATTAATTACCACACGTGAAGAATTAGCATCTGTCTGTGGTCCTCTAGTACGTCCTGAAACCCTTATAATCTGAAGCTGAAGAGGTAGAGTCAAATATCGGTCAGGCGAGGCCCAGGGCAAGAACAAGAACATGACTTTCTCTAGAGATTGCCAATACACTGGGAAAAACGAGCAAAGCTTAGGAATGGGTCAACAAATCAGACGAAAGAGACTCATCCGCGGTGACCGGAGCATTTCCTAGAGAGCGGTGCTTTTACAGCCTATGACCAGATCCTCGAGGTATGCAGCTCCGATCAAGAACAATAGCCATTTTCGAGGCCTTCTTTATGTGACGAAAGCGTTAGTGTGCAAGCCCAACTGGTATATACATAAATCTTTGTTCTGGCTTTATAACAACCCACACGCCGAGAAAAATTGAGCATAGGTGGGGGGAGGGGGTAGGAGGGGGAAAATGGGGGACGGTCAATTCGTGCGTCCGGGGACGAGCGCGGCAAATTGCGCGGCGAAGTTCGTGACGATTTGTACGGCTCTGACGCCAAATTTCGGGGCGCAAACTTGAAGTAGATTAGTTTAGTAGAGTCAGATGATCTTTCTAATCTACTCTACGTCAAATTTGGGCCCCAGTGATAGGCGCTAATGTCATTGAAATCGTTACGAACATCGCCGCGCAATTTGCCGCACGCGCCCTCGGACGCACGAGGTGACACATACCCGTGGGGACTCGGTCATAAAGTGAAATGAAGGAGACCTCTGCTATGGGGCGAGCGTACTCAGTGGGCATTACTTCTCCCTTGATTCAGACTCGATTCAACGAGAGCCTGAAGGTTGGGATAAGGCCTAAGGTGTGCTAAGCATGCGCAAGCTCCGCGAAGTTGCGGCTGCGGAGGGCGGAGCATGCTCTCAAAAAGACAGTGCTTCTTTAAGGAAATTCATAACTTCATTCAAAAACGTTTTGGAATCTGAAAAATGTAGTCAGAAGCTGTCTAAGAAAAGGGATCAAATCTCAGCAGTGGGCGGAGCATGCATAGAACATAGCGGGCTGGCTGAAATTAAAACTCTTTATTCTATTCAAAAAGGTTCTACAATCAGGAAAAAAAGTGGATTGAGGCCGTTGAAGGGAGGATGGCCAGATCTTCAAAGTAGGCAGGGCGTGCGCTGACGTAGGCGGTTTGGGGCTAAAAATCCACAGCACTGTTCAGAATCCTTCTAAAATCACAATCACGACTTACCACATGTAAGGATATCATCATTATTTGGTTTATAAGAATTTGCATCCATTTACTTGTCACAAAATCTATATCGCCTGAGGAAACAATGGAAGGTCAAGTAGAGTTCTATATGGGTGTGACATCGGGTCAGATAGGAGGGCACATATGAAGTTGGGTAAGCAGAGCCTCCCATACAAGGATAGGCCACGCTCCGAAGTGGGCGTTGAAGAGGACAAAACTCACTAATATGTTTTCAGAACAGCACATAGACCGGGGAAAATGAGCAGAGGTGAAGAATGTAGGTCGGTCAACAAATTAAACGAAGTGAGCATATTAGCGTGAGTGGGGCTTCACCACCCACCCATCGGCTATATCCTTGTCGGGGGGAGCCAGGTCATAAAATTTTTGAAATATGCTAAAACCAGTTGGGTTGCCAGGCTTACGCCAAGCCCCCATTCCTCACTTTTTCAGAGCAGTTGGAAACTCTCCCCTCCCCCTCCCCACCCCTTAGGTGAACAAATGTAAAGAAATGTAGAAATATAGAAGGGATAGGGATAGAATAGAGCTAGGTTTTCCATATCACTACCTTTATCGTAATTATAAATTTATCGGACGGAGAAACACTCAAACCAACATACCGACAAATCGACGTTCCAAGTTTCTGCTTTATAATTGAGAGAGATAATTCTTTGATGTGATGCACGCATTATTGTGCTTAGCCCAATCGGTCAACTGATAAGCCATTATGAGCATCAAGATCAACACTTCTGCATGATATCAGCCATGTCCAAATTTAGAGAATAACCATGTAGTAAAAGTTGTATGGCAACAATGTTCCGAAATTGTCTCATTGATGTGTCACAAACCTTCACCTTGACGTAGCATACGGTTGCTTCACTAGTCATGCGCGGGTTGTGTAAGACAAAAATTAATATTCGTTGTTTTGAGGTTAAGGGCTTTTGCTCACGCTAACCCTTTTTTTCCACTTAAATACTGGAATGCATTTTAGTGTACTTCCTGTGGTAAGGTGTTCGTGAATCAAGAATTCTTGGCAAGCCACTTGAAGAGACGGCACAATGATGAAAAGATGGAAGCAACAACGCCATGATCTGAAAGTAGCCCTTTTTTATTTACTTCTCTTAGTATTGCTTAACTTGGCTCAATTCATTCCAAATACGGTTTCATACTCATTACTATGCTTTAAAATAAAAATTAATCTCAAATTTCAATTGCATGGAACATAGCCGAGGTTTTTTTTTCTCATTGAGCTTGTATATATGCCATTTGTTTGGTAATTAAACGCTGTAGTTCCTGCGAGAAGGACTCTCAAATGGTGCTCTACTTGTTATAGTGGAGTGTTGCAACGATGAATGATTAATTTGAAGCTCCACTGATTGAATCCACGTTACCTAATTTGAGCGGTTACTACTGGCCAATGTAAGATGGCTAGGTTTGCTTGTGTTCGAGGCTGTCAACACTAATTGCCGATAGAATTCATGGGCAAACAGCCTATTTCTGGTGGAAGTAGCCAAAGAGATTGAGGTGGTTGGTTCACAATGACTCGTCAGAATAAACCACTGCTTCAGGATTCTTGTCACTTTCTGTTTTATGGTATAAGAGAGGAAGACGGGCAGTAGGAACGGTTTCCTGTAATCAATTCGCCGCACGCGGCTGTCGCGGACCATTCAGTCGCCTTATTACAGCGCTAGCGTAATAAGGCGACTGAATGTTCACACAGCTCAACCGATATGCGATCCTTATTTTAGTCATGATTCTACTGTTAGTTCCTTTGTTCCTGTATTTCTTATCTGCTGCTGCATTGCGCTACATTCATTCACGCGCGGCGTCTCTCTCGCCGACGCGACAATTTCGTTCCTACTGCACCACACACTATAAGAGAAGAGCTCGATTCGATGAAGTAGGTGTCTGGATAAGTATTTGCTCGCTGCTATCATTGCGTACTCCATCTACCCTTCTTCACCTCCATCATATCTTCTTGATCATTCTCAGAAAGCGGCGATCTCGGCATTTTGCTCGAAACTCTTGACTCACATGCTACTGAAGCAAATCGTATGAAAATCTTCATTCGCAATTAAATACCGAAACAGAAATAAAAAATAATACAGGGCAAATCAAAGCAAAAGTGAAAGACGAAAACAAAAACAAAAGACAAAAACAAACAAATGATGAACAGCAGTTTAGAAGCGGAGGCTAAAAGGCGCAACAAGTGATGCTGTAGGTTGGCGATTATGACATAGGCACCGTGCTCCTAGCCATTGCTCTACCGATATCCCGCTTATAATACTCTTTTTTTTTTGAGTATTATCTGGACTTGGTTAGTAGGCACCATTTACGTCCAGTCTTATATCATCCGGAATCATCTCGTTTATTTGATCCTCCAAATGTCTCTTGGTATGTGTGTGTGTGTATGTGTGTATGAGTGTATGTGTGTGTTTGTGTGTGTGTGGTGTGTGTGCGTGTGTGTGTTTGACGGGAAATTCAAAT